TGTTATTGTTACATACTGTCTAGTAGATTGTGATTGATAGTAACCCTATATGACTAAGTAGAATTTCCTCAGTAGAGGTTCCTGGATATAGCCTTTAAAGATAACTATCCCTCTCTTGTAGATTAGCTGGGTGGATTCAAACAGCCAAATTTTTGGTGAGTAGTTGAGAGTTAAAGTGTTGGACCAACAAATCCCATTTTTCACATGTGCTCCATATTATCCTAATCATTTTGTATGCTGAGCAAATTATTTAAGCTGTACTCTGAAGAACAATTTAATTTTCATCAATAACCTTTATTATGTTGATGACACAACCTTGTTTGCTGAAAGTAAAGAGGATTTAAAGTGTTTGCTACTGAAGATCATACACTACAGCCTTCAATATAGATTGTCTCTCAGGTCAAGAAGACAAAATTCTTACCACTAAACTTATAGGTAATGTCATGATAGATGGAGAAAAGATTGAAACTGTCAAAGGCTTCATCTTTCTTGGACCCATAATCAATACACTTGATAGCAGGAGTTAGGAGATCAGAAAAAAAGTATTGTGCTGGGAAAAGTCTATAGTCAGGAATCTCTTTATTGAGGAGCAATGAGGTCAGTATGCGTGATACATGCCATGGACTTTTCAGTCACTTGCTATGCTCCACAGAGTAGGACAAGGAATAAGGATGATAGAAAACTTTGATGTCTTTGAACTATGCTGTTAGAGAAGAGTACTGAATATTTCATGGACTGCCAAAAGAACAAAGAGATTTATAGTGGAGAAAGTGCAACTAGAGTGATTCTCGGAGGTAAAGATGATAAAAAATTGCCTCTCATACTTTGGTAGGGCAGGCTACCTTGGAAAACGGTGGGGAGGTGGAAGGATGGCAAAAGAGAGGACGGCCCTCCTACAGGTGATTGACATAGTGACTGCAGCAGTGGATTCAAGTGTGTCACAGATTGTGAGAATGGCACAAGATAAGACACAGTTCATATCATTGCTATGATTTGTACTCAACTCAGTGGTACCTTACAACAACAACAACTTTAATATCTACTTTGCCAACTACTGAGTGTATGGGACAATCTGAGCAGTCCCAAGAAATACAGTATCTTTAATGTATTTCTTAAATATAGACATGTATTACTGGAGAATTTTGAGATTCTCAAAAGGATGGGCAGGGGAGTGGTTTATTACAGGGTTGCACAATTTAATGGGTGGGTAGGGGTGTGTGTGAAGGAAAGGGGAAAGATCCGGTGTGAAAAAGAATGTATTTGACCTTTGTAATAAACCAGTATAAACTTTTTTTAAAAAAAATTGTGTTGAGAAAGAGAAATATGAAAAAAGTAATTAATAACAGAGAGTAAAACTTGGAGATACATATTTTTTTACCAAAACATGTGGCTCAGGTATAGCACCCTCTTCTCTGAAAAATAAACTTACAGTATATTGTTATTCAAAGAGTGTTGTTGGTTATGTATTATTGGTTTAAAAGAGTTTCAGTTAAATTTTTGTCAAACCATTTCCTCTGCAGGAAATGGTTTATTGAATTATGGAGCAATAATTTCCTTTTGTTCATTTAATAAGAAATTTAAGAAATCATGAATGCCCCCTTAGTTTCTCTCTATTTTTAGAGGAAATAAATTGTGTGATCCTTGGAGAGGACATGTACAGGGCAGTGCCTGCTTGACAGTGTCACTTCTGAGGGAAGCCTTACAGCTGTCTTCCTATCACTTCCCCTTTATTTGAACCAGGGTTGCTATTTATTTTCAAATGGTCTGACATACATGCTGACCAGTGATCCTCTCTTGACATGATTTTGCATGAAAAACCTCTGCCAAATAGTGCAGAAGAAGGTGAGGTACTTTTCTATCACAAGTGGAATTTATTTGCCTTCCCTTTAGAATTTTACTCGAGAGGGCTGGCAAAGGAGAAGTGAAGAAGAATCCTAACCCACAGAGAAAATAATGGCTCATTGGTTCCTGGGGGGAAAGTAGAATAATTGGTTTCTAAATCTTCCTTGAATTCTGAATGCCTCAGCTAAAAAGCTGAGTTTTAGTTCTATACGCAGTGTTGTTGGGTGGGTGCTGACCGGGTATCTCCAACTCATAACAACAGACTGAAGCATGACCTGATCCCTTCTTCCTCAATTGCTTTTCTGCTGAGTCTATTGTTGAAGTCACTGTGCCAGTGACAGACATTTTTGTTATGTGCCATCGAGTCTCTTGCGACTCATAGCGACCCTACTATGTACAAGAGCCGTAAATGCCGTTCTATCCTGTGCCAACCTCGCCATCTCAAATGCACTCATTCCCACCACTCCACTCACAGAATCGATCCATCTCATCGAAGGTCTTCCTCTCCTTCGCCGCCCCTCCACTCTGCCAAACATGATGTCCCTCCTTGCAACATGCCCAAAGTCTGTCGGACGAATCCTTGACTCCAAGGAGCATTCCGGTAATATGTATGTGTGTATGGACTGCTAGGAAAACAAACAGATTTGTCCTGGAGAGGGTTAAACTGGGTGGCTCCTTGGAGGCAAGGATTCTGAGGCTCCGTCTAACTTACTTTGGACATGTTGTGAGGAGAGACCGGTCCTTAGAGAGGGACATCATGCTTGGGAGGGTGGAGGGACGGCGCAGGAGAGGAAGGCCCTCTATGAGGTGGATTGATTCAGTGACTGGGATAATTGGGATGGGAGTGTCAGAGACAGTGAGATTGGCACAGGACAGAGCGGAGTTTAGGGCTGTTGTAAATAGGGTCGCTATGAGTCGCAGGCAACTCGACGGCACATAACAACAACAACAACATGTACGTATGATCCTCTCTTGAGAGTGTTTGGTCTGAAAATCTCTGTCAAATAGTGCAAAAGAAGATGCGATCATTTTCTACACAATTACATTTGTTTGCTTTAGAATTTGTTTCTCTTTAGAATTTTACTAGAGATAACTGGCAAAGCAGAAGAGGAATAATACGTAGAAATCATTGTTAACTCCATCCATCCATCCATCCATCCATCCATCCATCCATCCATCCATCCATCCATCCTTATATACATCCTTATATCCTTATATATATATATATCCCTTTTTAAATATAGACTTGTTTTTGTTGTGTGCCATCAAGTTGGAACGAACCCAACCCATAGATGATCCTTCAGTGGGTTTCCAGAGGCAGTAAATCTCATGGGAGGAGAATGCAAGATCACCCATCCTTCTCCCATGCAGCATCTGGTAGATTCAAACTGTGTGTGTTATTTGCTCTAATGGCCTAGTGGTAAGAAATTGCACAGCAAACCCAAACTGCATGCCTTTGGGATTAGAGCACAGCTTCTTACCACCAGGCCACAAGAGCCTCAGTGAATCTCAATTACTTTCAGTCAGAAGGGTTTACTAAAATGCAAATTCTGTGTTTTAATAGAATATGTCACTCTGATTTACCTAGGAACAAAGACCATGACAAAAGTGCCTCCCTGAAGTTATTGACCACCTTAATAGACTGTGACAAAATAATTGGATTATGTAAAAACTTACATGAAAGAGTCTGAGCACTTACAAAAAGAAAACTTCCATAGGAGCAATTAGAGCACAGCCTATTTAGAACACCACTGTAATGACGAGTTATAGAGGAAGATCTCCAGGACTTGCAGAAGGGACACTTCTGCAGAAAATTCAAATGAGATTGAGTTAACATTTAGCAGTCTTACTCACACCAGGGAATAGTACCTTATCCTGGGATTGGAAAGTACTCAGTAGTACTATTAAATGAGGAATCAATTTCCAGAAACTGGACATGGACAGGAAACACAGAATAAGGCAAGTCAGGATTAGAATGGTCAGGTAGTCTGAATAGCACCCCTATCTCTGGAAATAAAGTTACTTTGAAACTAAGGTGGATTTTGTTTGAGTCAGGATATTTTGTATACACTTTAGATTGAGTAAAGTTAACTCAGTGTGTACTTAGGAAGGAAGACCCCCAAGGAGATGAGTGAGTGTACAACTGGGCATATCAGTGATCGTGAAAATGGCACAGGATAGAGCCAGTTTCCTAGGGCTGCTCTGAGTCATAGGCAACTCGATGGCACCTAACCACAACAAAGGAAAGAAGAGTTGAAGGTGATTAGTAAGGCATTCAGAATTGGAGAGACTGCTCGCTTCACCCTAAAATAGTATCAGACTAGGCTGGAACTTGAAATTGTAGAAACAGAACTGTGAAGGTAAAATAAGACTCATGAAGAGAAGCAGACACATAGATCTTTAATTATCCAGTTAGGCATTCTCAGAAAGGGGAAAAATTAAGTGTCCTTTAAAAGTGTTTTCCCCTCATATCTAATCTAAACATATGTCTCAAATGTAGTCACAATCCTTTTATTACATTGCTGTGATAATAGTAAGAACAATATCCAGCTGGCTTCCTTTCTTCTTTCAAGGATCCCTCACTTTAATTAGTGTTTGAAGACAGTTAGTAAATCATAAGTCTGAGTCAGGACAATTTAATGCTTAAGCACTTAGCTTATCTGACCTTCACATTAATTACATTTATTACACCCACAGGAACTTTCTGTGCTATTTTTTCTCCCCCTTGCAAAACCACATGGTCCCAACCAACCCAGTCCTCTCAGTTTGCCTCGATGAGCTCCTTCAGAATGTCCACTTCTTCCCAGTCACCTCTTGCATATGTGAATCCAAACTCAAAGTGCAGTCACTAGGCATCCATTTGTGTATGATTGTTTTGAGATGTCATTTAAATTCTTGCAAAAACTGAAAGTGAAATGAGGAAGAGTGATTGAGCAATCCAATAGAAGGGCGAATGCCAGGAAAACCTACCGTACAGTAGGGGCAGAGATGCAGAAAGGAAAAAAAGAAGAAAATTCAGGAGAACTCTCCTGACTGGGGGAGCCAAACTCTGTGATGTGTTCAATGTAGGACATTAGCAAACACAGATAACAGGAAATGATCCATTCCTTGTGGTCACTTATTCTAAAGGCCCTAACCTTCAAAGTGCAAGTGGTGAAATGGATGACTCCACAGAGAGGGAGCAGTTACGCCTCTCTTGCTTTAAGAAAAGAGAAGAAATGAAACTCAAGGAGTGTGTTTTCATCCTCCCCCAGAAGGAAAGCCCCTCTGCTTGGTTCTCTAAAGATGGAAAACTCCTCTCAGTGACCTTGCTGCTGACCCTGCTGTCCTCCTGTCTGACAGTGGTGTCTTTCTACCGAGTGGCCACCCTGCAAGCAGAACTTCTGAGCCTCCGGGCGGAACTGCGGTCCTATCAAGCTGAGCCGCTGCCAGCATCTCCCCAGGCAGAAGCAGGAGCCTCCACCGCAGTGCTGAGGGAGACTCCAGCTGTCACCCCTGGAATGCGAGTGAGTTAGCATGAGCCATAGCCCCAGGCACTGCCGCTTCCTAAAATACTCTTTCTGACCTCAGTTGTCTTTGCAATGACTTCAATTTTTCTGTCAACAGAGCCTCCTTGAACCAGGAGCATCAGGAGAAATCAACTCCGGGCAAAGCAATAGGAGTAAACGTGCTCTTCAGAGTCTAGAAGAACCAGGTATGTTTTGGGGATAGATTCATTTAGGAATTAGGAATAGCAGCATTTATTAGTTTAGATATTATTATCAGATTTGGTAGAAGCATAATGTGGGGGGAGTGTAATCTCTCTAAATTTCTTAAACAGAGAGTATAGAATTTGATATTAAAGCCTGACCATGCCTTATAGCAAAGTCCTAGCAATGGCAAACTCAATCGGTGAGCAGCGTCTACGCCCATCTATGCTGGGGGCCAATAAGTCAATTCTTATTCACAGTTGCCCTACAGAAGATTAGAACTGCCCCACAGGGTTACCCAGGCTGAAATCTTTACTGAAGTAAATTGCCACATTTTTGTCTCCACAATCCTTTTGCTTTAACAGAGAATACTTACTCATTGGACCGTTAGAGACTGCAAGAATTTCACGCCTGTCATCCTAAGACATCCCTTAAACCCGGAACTGAAACCATTCCCAGAGAGTATCTTAAAGTTAAATCACAAATTAGCTCATAAATTTTATACCACCACCTGTGCCTACCGTGCGCTTTCTCTAAAAATGTATATATTTTTATATGATGTTCTATATATCTCTCCACTATGAGTAGGTTCTGACTTGAAGCCACACAGCAGTATCTCACCAAAATAGTCAATATTTCCTCTTAAGAGGTGAATGACAGGCAGAGAGTGGGTGGGTGGGAAAGTTAGATTAATGGAAATAGAGCAACTAGAATAAAATTAATAATAATATTGATACATTGTGATAAATGTAAATGTCACTGAACAAGGTACACTTAAATTGTTATGTGGAATTTAATTTTCCATGTAATTTCACCCAAAACACAATAAAATATTAATTTCTAAAAAAATCATTCAGATGATGAAAGGTGAAATTCTGTCTCCTTTAACAAAAGTCAACTACTGAAAATATTGATCTATATGCATTTACCTATTGTCTATCCATCTGTCTACACATGGCTAAATGCTACTAAATAATACATTGAATTTATATATCTTTTGTTTTCCTATAAATAATAAATTTCATCAGACACATTAATTTTATCTGTATAATTCAATTTCTAGCTTAATTCCAGTGTGTTGTGATAAAATCCCTTTTCTGACTCAATTACCACAAAGCCAGTTCTCCCCTCTTGAACATTGCACCAGTATTTGATGTTGTTAGGCTCTGTGAAGTTGATTTCATCTCACAGCAATTGGCTGATCCTGTATCACCTTTACAATCTTCACAACTGTTTGAGACTTTGGATCTGAATATGGTCATGCACTGATAAACTGATGGCATGTTGACATTGAGGATCAAATATAGAAAGAGGGGGAAATAAAAAGAAAATCCCTATTTTATGTCAAATACCTCTATGCCAGAAGCACTCTCTATGAGTCTAGAAATAAAATACATTTAAATAGTTTGAGTAGTTCAGTTAGTTTACTTTATGGTCCATAGTTTTTCATGTTTATAAATAAAGTTTGGAGGGATTACCAAAATGACCAGTTTAGTTCCTTTACTTTATAAATGAAGGGCATATGTTGGATTTAATTTATTATTGTTAAAATTTACAATGTTAAAAATTGTATATTACTACCTTCTATATCTAGTAAATCTCATGCCCCATTTACATGGGTGTGTATGTGTGTGTGCCTAGAATCTTCCAGGTAGTCCACAGAGTTGTGCTATTAACCTAAAGGCCACAACTCTTTGGCAGTTTGACTCCATCAGAGGCTCCACAGGAGAAGGATGAGCAGTCTTCTCTGTGATTTGTAGCTTTGGAAACTCACTGGAAAGTCAACTGTGAGTTGGATCAGACTCTACAGCAATGAGTTTTGCAAGGTTGGATTGTTTATTTTTCTAGTTATGTTGTTTAGTTTCATTTATTCTTTATAGTGACTGTGTGAGGTAAACAAAATATATGCAATTATGTTTTTGCTTTTGATGTTTAAGAAATCTAGTCAACGGTAAACTAGGTACTCTGTGACACACATGCACATCCATGGCATTTTAACAGGAAATCCATTTATATTTCCACTATCTGTCTTACTCATGAAAACATTTTTTCCCCTTATTTTATAAAATTAAAAAGTTCTGACCTAATTGTTTTCTCTTTGGACAAATTATAAAAATACTTGAATTTAAACAGTTTTAAACTTGAAAGCACACTCATTTTAAAGGATATTTTTCAGGTTAGTTACTTTCATAGTTTATTTTTATGATTTTTATTATCTATATTTTAGATAAAATGGAGATATCTACTGTTTCACAGCTTTGTTTTCACTTGTTATCAGACAAGAAGGGTTTATTCCTCCTTTAAGTAGTTTATCATATATGCACATGAATTTATTTTTATTATAATATTTTTATGGCCATTTAAATTTTTATTAAAATAGAGCACGTTATATGCACATATATTTTGCAGCTGAGAATTGTATGTTTAAAAAGAAATTCCATGTAATGGGATCTCTGAGCTGCAAGGAATGAACAGTTATATCATTCTTATTAAAAACCAATGTCATATTATTTTTAAAATAAGTTATAAAAACAAGAATCAGGCACTCTATGGGAAAAAGATGTAGGAGCACCTTAAGATAACAGCTTTGCAAACATCAAGGGACAGTTCTACCATATTATGCTGTTAGGTAAATCAGGACTCGTAGTACCACTGTAAACAAGAGATCTGAACCCTGCCCTATCCTGTGTTAACTTCATAATCTCTTTCTTGATCCAGCTCATTGTTGTAGTCACTGTGTCAATCTCATTGAGAGATGTCCTCTCCTTTGTTAACCCTTTATCTTTCCCAACATAGTGTCTTTCTCCAAGGAATGACTCCTTCTGACAACATGCCCAAAGTATGTGAGACAAAGCTGCACCTTCCTTGTCTCTAAGGAGCATTCTGGCATTTATTACTCTTCTGTCATCCTTGTTAACTGTCCACTTTACAGATGCATAGTAAGCAACTGAAAATATCATGACTTGGATATAAATAGGTGCACATAATTCTTTAAACCAATATCCTCGCTCTTTAACACTTTAAAGAGTTCCTTGACAGCAGGTTTTTCCCAATGCAACATGGTTTTAAATTTGTTTTTATTGCTTATACCATGTATGTTGATTTTGTGAATCCAAGTAAAATGAAGTTGCTGACAATTATAATTTTTTAATCTTTTCTCCATCTACAACTTGGTCTTATACCAATAGCTTCTTGGTTTAGATATAGATTTCATATGAGTACAACTAAGTGTTCTGAAACTCTCATTCTTCTCAATGTTAACCATAATTTCTTATTATCTATACAGTCAAATGCCTTTGCAAAGTCATAAAACATAAAAGACACTCTTCTGGTGTTCTTCCCTTACAACCAGGATCCATCTGACATCAGCAATAGTATCCCTGGTGCCATGGCCACTTCTGGTACCTAGTTCCCTTTAAATGTACTGTTGTAGCCATTTTTT